GCGCTCTTAAAAAAAAATCTTCTCATTTGTTATTTCGCCAGCTGCATGGTGGAACTACCACTCACACTTCTGCAAAAAATCAGTAGGGTTGAATTGGGATAACTGACAGAAATGTCAGTAACAATGGTAGTTGAAGTGCTACAAATTATTTTCTGAGTAATTAGTGCGTACCTAATTATTTTGTATTTCATAAATATGGTTAGTCTTCTTTTGTGCGTGAGAGTTCTAATAGTACCGAAAAACTTGTATAGTGCCCCTGGACACATTTGGGCATCGCAAACAAGCGCGGTGCATAGATCAATCGCTGATCGTGTCTACAAATTAAGAAAAGGTTACGTCACCGGCAAGTGGTCGACGTGTTAAACAGACATCTGAGTGATGTACCTTTACGAGGAGTTCGGGCTTATAAAGAAAGTGAGCTTCACAGACTCACGCGCAAACGACCTATGGTATGCGTACGCTACATTAAATTCCAGCGACCAGGGCATACGACTCTGCTTAACTGTCCAATGCGAAGTTTGACGCATTCCACGGCTTCTCATGCGTGTATATTGCATACAAAACACACAAAAAAGACATACCGCAGCGTACATGTACAGCTTCACGTTCGAGTTTCCATTAATGACTTCATCGGAGTGCCGCAGTATTTCTCGGATCATCAGACCTGCAGAGAATTATTCCAGCAAAGCAAAAAAGAAGGTGCTGTTACACCGGGTATTCAGCGATAACTCTGCGATTAAAATTCAGCATTCAAATATTTTTATCTCCTTTTTTATGATGAGATACACAACAAGAGCTGATAAAATACTCCCTGTTGATTGGTTCAGCAGCCTAATTAAGTAATACTCCCTAATTAACCTCTTGTTACCAACATCACGGCTCCCTAGCGGATGAAACGTTGGTTAAATAACAACAACCCTGTTATACCTTTCGGCTTTTTCTAAAGCCCTATAAACATTAAAAATTTAAAAAAACTACGTTGCATGATGAGTTGCGACTGCTCTTCAGCGCCTAATCGAACGCGAGCGTTTCAGGATCACGCTGCGCAGTTGTCACACGTGGTGGCATTACAGAACAAGTGACGTTTCTTGGCGTGCCGGGTTGGATTGCCACGATCACGCATGCGCGGAGCGTTCCGAAAGTTGAACTATTCGGTACGGACTCGTTGTCGCTATACGCAAACGGAAGAAACGCGTTAATAAGTGGCACAAGACACAGCTCCTACCCGGCCCCTTCTCATTCTTCTCCTGGCGTATACGTGCTTCCTTCCATGCACTGCCGAGGCTAGAGCACTCGTCATATGCGCTTTGCTTCTTACATCTTCGTGTTTTAGCACTACATCAATGGTTCTAACGATAACATATAGATAAGGCATCTCGACTTCGGTCTGTGGTTAGGTTATGTCCGTCATCTGAGAACGAATAACAACAAAGCGAATATACATGGGCGCTGGCCGACAGCAAGATCACGTGGGTGTGTGTAACGACATTTTCTTTTTGGTGGGTGGATTTTTTTATTTGTTAGCAAATTTTGCCTGATTGTTCCTACGTTGGTACTTTTTGCTTTTTCTCCTTGTATCTGCCATCGTCAATTAATTGGGAGAAGCGCGCAAAGGAAGAGACACAGAGTTATCTGACAAGCGCCATCAAAAAGGACAATGCCAGCCGACTGTGAAAGAAGAAACTTATATAGAAACGCAATAGTGGGTGATGAGTGGGACAAGATTATTCCAAGAACATTTATTAATGCATTTGATTCATTTAAAAAGTCAATTTTTAATGATTTTGTCGTCATCTACCAACGCCCGAATCCCATTGGCTAACTGTCACTGATAGATGTGTTGGCTATTAAAAATATGATTTCATTAGGCTTCTAAATTAACTCACACAAAGCTTTCTTTATGTGAGCCCCTGTGGCAGATTTCTTCATTCAAATGGTATTATTTTATCTCGATTCCCTTAACTTTTACATTCAGATAGTGTTGCCACAGAAACATACGGTACACTGAAATGTTGCATATTTGTAATAAGCCCGTGAGGCAGAAGATATAAAAATTTTCAGTACGCTAAGTTGCAGGTCTTATCACTTGTGATTTATGAAAACCCAATATCAGAAGTAAGTGTATATACCATTATTTTATCCAGAATGAGCTACAACATCAAGTCTCTCTACTTGGCCATGTCCACTTATTAACAGCGTGGACCGCATTTTGGAGGAACACCTGGTTAGTGTCCGAGACTGTATAACTACAGCATTTCTTTTACTTCGTAACGAAAATCGATGTGAGCACACACTCATTTTTCAATTAATACGAAAAGCACGTTCCTTTGACACGGGATATCATTATGTCTCGCCAAGGTCACGTACCTGACATAGAGGATAGATAAAGGACAGAGAAGACCTGTAACAATCAATGTGACGTCAACATCGCGAAAGGCGAAATGATGGGATGAAAACAATGAGCGAACATACGCGCTATTCTTTCCTATTGTTTGTGTCACATCGTTTTGTGTCTTTTACCCCACCACCAAGTATAAATTAAATGACCTCTCATCGCTTCTTTGTAGCGTACATACTACAATGTTTTCGTAGCCATACTGTTACATAATCTATTCTATCCAGGCGCTAAGGCGAATAATTCGTTTTCTTTTTTTTCGCGAACCGACTGGAGCGGCATGTGTCAGTTGACACGCCATATGAGACCGCTGAGATAAGTAAATGCACGGACGAAAAAAGCAATGTAGAATCTTACCAGCTCGTAGTCTGTTATGCAGAGCGCTGTTGTAATTCAATATGGTCGTGTATTTCGCCACCCTTGTCATGTTGCCCCAAAGTGGAAGCGCCCAGTCAGGAATCTTCAGGTTGCGACTCCGCTGCGCAAACAGAATACAACACTAACAATAACTTCACCTTAAGGGAAGCATAATTAGGGGACTGTTGCATTTACTAGTGTATGCCGAAATGAAAGTCAACATTTTTTTTGTGTAATGAGTTGTAATGATTATCAGCGCATATTTTCATGAATGAAAAAAAAGTGTTTAGCGTATCACTTGACATACCTCGATAGTCAGAGTGTCCAGCAAATCTCTCACGCTGACCCAGTCTGTCATTTTCTTGCCAGACAGCTGCTCGAGCGTCCTCATCAAATTCTGCAACAGGTATGCAACTTGTTAGATCAGTTTTGCAGGAGGATGAGCAAAGTTCCTTCCGTCGTGTGGTGCAAGCGTGTCTTTGCGGGAAACTGCTTTGTAGTGGTTAGAAGGCCTAGATTTAACATGAAACATAGAAGGTTTATGGAAAACAGAGAAGGTAACCATAATAAATGTTTGACCATTAAAGTTTCAATTTCGAAAGAGGACCTGTGGGTATCGCAAAGATTTCCTCACGAGAACGAAATGACATGAACGAGAGGTCGTATCAAGACTGGCAACACATAGGCAGCCAGACTGGCAGAATACCGCACCTTACGACAGTGCAAGATTTTTTAGGTACAATGAGTCCATTTTTGGTGTTCGTGCAGGGAAAATGAGTAATGGAATCATTTCAACTATACACACCTGTCTGTCGCCTAAATTCAGTCAGACGGAAAGAAGCTGTACAATACATAACCGAAAAACGACCTCCTTTGAGCAGTGGTAAGGAAGCATGCCACATTTGTCGTTTATTCATTGCGATGCTTTTTTTTTAACTAAATCGTGTTGTGTGAAGAGGGAGGGCCAAAAAAAAACTTTGGTATAAACTCACCGCGTTGTTGCTCATCACCTCAGCGCCTTCCGGTGACTCGCGGATTCGTTCCAGCTCCTCGTCATCAGCGGGGCATATTGCATCTTCGTACAGCATCTGTAAAGTGCATCCACGAATGGTCTTGGACTGGTGCCTCCTGGCGCTTTCGCATAGAAAGCCTAACTTGTCGCATGAACGTATCCGAAGTTTATTGCAGTGACTCCTTCATCGAATAACTCATCACTTACACATAACGCGATAAAAATTGTACACTCACGCCATCCAAGTCGACGGGCATTGTTTGAATGGGTACAGGTTGCCAGTCAACTTCACTGTTCCAAACTTTCTTGTCCCGTGGGGGATAAAGGCCGTATAGGTTGGTCTGGATGCTCTCCAGGCACCGTTCTCGGCTAGAGCTTCTTGCTCGCATCTGACAATGATGAACTAGAGTTAGCACATCACTCACTAGTTTATTATGAACACCATATGTCGAGTGAATGCGCCTATCAATACTCACAAAGACAGATATTAAGGACGGGGAGACTTGCGTTATGCACAGTATATCTTCGCATTTATCTCATGCAGCCATCATGCTTACTATTGGCCATTACGTCCCTACGTATGTCACAGTTGGCAGCGTAACGTACCACATTTGATATCTCTCTTTAATGACCTGCCAACCACTGACCTGCAGTGCTGCTATTGCACAGGCATTAAACTGCATTTTTTGTTTTTAAGTTGCCGTGAATCATCAAAGAATACTTTTGCAGCCCTTTGGTCCTAGTCACAGCCATAATTTCGCCTCTAGATATCCCGAATTAAAGAACATTTTTTTTCAACAACGTGCCCGCAAAAGACGTACGTGTAAGTTATTTTTTAAAATGAAGTTTTACAGAATGTTGCTATTTTTTATAAAAATCCTCTGACAGTTAGTATCCTATCGCTTTAGCACATCAAGCCTATAGTATACGTCGATGTGGAAGTATACTTTACCATAGCTAAAGAACTATGAAGTTACCAATTTATAAAGAAATGTAACTTAACATGTAGGTATTTACTTCAGCGCAGTTCTTTATACACTAAAACCTCGCTGTTACGTTCCCGGGAGCTGCGTTTTCCTTGCTGTTACATCACTCTCGGCCAGCCCCGGCATAGCTATGTACGATCCAATGCATTGGCAACCTTGCTGTTACGTCACAACTGTGGGACCATTCCCGCATTGTATGTTGTGAAACGGCCCTCCAAGACCGCCATATTGACTTTTCACGTGTCTTGGCTTGCTCTGCTTGGTGGCTTGACGGTGGGATTGACCGCCATAAGCGGTGAAGGGGACATCCATGATGAATCTTTAAGTCGCGCCACCAGAAACACTACCTCTGGCTATTTTTGTCAAAACATGGCGTTTTTTGGCGTGATTGGGGGCTAAAATTTTCTATTGACGTATTTGACGAAAGTATGTACTTCAAGAATACCTTCTTGCTTCCCGTAGTCATCCTTTATGCATGGACTGAGTGCCAGGGAGGACTCATCGCTACCGTTATCGTAGAAAAAGCTTCTTGTAGTCTCCTCGCATGTCCTGTATCTCGTGTATGGTATACTGCCTAAGACACTCTAGGCACTATACTTGTGAGCTGTCGTGTCGGGTATGGGGGGCGTGTATACTGGACGATGCTGAGGACCACATGGCACTGCAGCTGCTTCAGGTACACCTTCTACTCATCGGGCGTGAGAAGATGTGCCAGGCGGCGCTGCATGATTCCTTCAAGCGAAAAGTGTGAAATAAAATTGTGCACGTGCGTCTTCCCAGTACTCTAATTTCTCTTTTTAGGGGCGAAGCTCCTTATGGCGTGGCTTGTGCGTCCCTCGTAGTACGTAACCACCAGTGGCACATACCCGAAATAGTGGTCCTAACGCTTTTGACCTCCAAGGTGGTTTCGGTGAGAGATTTCTTCTCTGCGTTGTTGAACAATAAAAGATAGTGCTCAATGCACATGTTAATGGCTGCTAAGGGGGAATGAGAGACAGGAGCATTCAGCCTTTAGGTAACGCGCACGCTGCGATCCCCATTAGCAGCTATTGGCATGTACATTGAGCACGATCTGACAAGAAAGGGTTGCTACGTTATACTCGCTGGGTGTAACCTCCTTGGTTTTAGAAAGATTTAGCAAGCGTTGGGCTGCATAGCCATGAATACAGTGAACTAGTATATACCATGAACTCGAGGTGGTTAAAGGTGGGAAGTAAACCCGAAGCGCAAGCCGTAAGAAAGTGTGCATGTGCCACCTCCCGTTTAGTCCTTGAAATGTCCGCTGAATGGCGGTGCTTCTATATGGAGAATATATGATGAAAAGATGCGAGATGGTGGTACTTGGAGTGCTGAATAGATGGACGAACGGACACACAGACAGATGCATGGACGGACGCATGAACAGACGCAGGCGCGGATGCATGGACGAACGCAGGGACGGACGCACGAACAGACGCACGCACGGACGGGTCGATGGACGCATGGACGGTTACACAGACGTACGCAGGAATGGACGGAAGCAAGAACGAATGGACGGACGAATGCTTCGCCGCACTCCCCATCATTCACTCCGTGGATATGCTGCCATTTTTTTTAAGTTTCTCGGCTCGTACGTTTGCCGGCACTTGCGTGTTTTTTTTTTCTTTTTCTTAAGTTTAGAAAAATGTTTTAGTGTGGTTTTACTGTAGTAGCAATTAGTAGCCCGTGAAAGTTTATAGCATGCCCGTTCTTAAAATTATATTTTAGGTGATTCGAGATATTCATCACCCAGTTTTTAATAGCGATATCAAAACAGACCCCAACCCCACCCCCCACCCCTGGGCCACTCAGTTGCGTCCGTTGCGCGGCCACTCCGTTGATATGCGATATGACCTTGTTGTCTATATTTATTTCTATATTAATTTTTATTACCTAGTTTTTAACTAACCACAAAATCCCCGAAGCAAACCTTCTTGTGTTAAACATTTGAACTGTCTAGGTCAAAGGTCCTAAACACGCGGATCTCTTTCTGTGCATAACTGTGTCTAGCCCATTTTTTTTATGAACTACGCAAGCATGAGTGGTCTAGAACATTGTTTTCGTCATTTACCTACTGCTTTCACAATGTGTTTATACGTAATCGCGAAACAAAACTCTATATTTCAGACTTGGCGTCCAGATTTTAGTCATTTCGGAAGTTAGTATTGCTATGTTGCTGGAATATTGTGATCAAATCTCATTTAGTAATTCCTGATATATGACATATGAAGGTCTCCTTAAATGTTTGAATGTTTGTTTTGACAATTGTACAACCCCCCTCCCCCTTCGCCGTTTTCGCTTTCACTTTCGAACAAGGATGGAGTGAAGACCACCTATCTAAACCAATGGATCGCAGCGAAGCTGCGCTGCGCGCGGCGGTGGCCATCATGGCATATGCAAGATACGGGAGCCAAACAGCCGAAGCGCCCGCCGCGCCTGTGCGAATTGGTTTTTTAACAGTTATGACGTGTATTAAGGGGCAAGTTGTAAGGAAAAAAAACAAACGGCAGATAAGAGTAAAGTCGACTTTGTTACGTTTCTTTGGAGTTTTCCTTGCAAGCATGCACACCGACGAAGGGTATGTGATGCTGATTTTTAAAAGTAACCATACTCGTGAGAGCAGACCTCACTTTCTCGGCACACACTTTCCTGTTAATTTTATTTATGGGATACAATCTTTTGCATCTGTAGATTTCGGCTACTTCATTTTTGTGTAATATAAATGTGGGTGTCCAAAGCATCACACAAAAGGACATCCTCATCGAGAAAGATATGTTCGTGAAGGCTTTCATTATTGAAAGCCAGTTTCTTTATCACAGCTAGTATCCAAACCTCCAGAACCAGATGTCTTGGCTTTGCAAAGTCGTGCTTGAAATGTGGGTATTTTAATTGCAGCCGGCCTTATTAACAGAGCTTTTCGATACTATTTAGTTAACGAGACTCTCTCGGCTCTTGTTCATGAGTCAATTAAAAAAAAGGACACAGGTGACCTCCTAAGTGGTAAGCTTAGGCCAACCAGCGTGTGCACATGCCGTCTATATTAATGCATTCCACTTTCAAGGTACTCACGTCCATCTAGTCGCCCACAGTCTCAACGTGTTTCCTCATTTGTCGTTAACAACCAACGTACAATAATACCCTGTGCAACATTTGGCGAGATTTTCCGAGTTCAGCGACCCAGCTGTGACTCCAGCCTGTCCTTTCATGAAACTGTTTGCTATTCTAGTATAGTGCACTCTGCTGACAGTGCTCGATATTGTGCTTCGATCAAAACATTCTCATAAGCTGATGGAGAATAGAAGTGCAGCATAAACGCAAACGCCCGCAGCTCGGATGTGTACGTGCCTTCTGGTCTTTTTGTGGCCCGTGGAGGATTTGCTGTATGTATATGAAGGGAGACACCAAGCCTGCCCTCCTCAGACATGCGCTTTTGATTCTCTATCTCCTTTGTTTTATCTCGATGGTTCAGTGTGCGATTTCTCTGCGGTATAGATTTTTATTCTTGAGCTGTTTTATGTACCCTAGGAAACATGAAGCATTGTTTTTATAAGAGCTGCCGTGCAGCTAGTTGATGCAACTCTCCCATCCTCAACAACTTGTTCCAATTGAATAGATATAACGGTACGAGTACCCGGCGCCTCAGTTATGGTCACTTTCTTTGCAGCAAGAACAGGCGTTGCACAGTTCAGATCTACTGGTTTTGCTCGCTGCACTAAAAATAACAAAACGCAAGGCACGGTTGTAAAAAAAATACAGGTTCTGGTTTGTTGCTCAAATAACGTTACTTAACCTTGTATTAGTGAGCTACCTTTTTAATTAACACAAGGAACCTAAAACGAAATGTAATTTTTAATTTTATTGAATAGGCTGCGTGCTTGTTCTATTCGCGCACCAGTCCAGTGATATAAACGAGCACAAGGAGGCGTATTACTGTGTTTTCCGGGTGCTTTAGAAATGCGTCAAGTCCAGCTGGACAACTTGCAGGTCTCAGCCTAGTCCGGTCGAAACAATGCGGCCAGTACAGTCTTCTGCTTCCAATGTGAAAAAATGGGGTCTTATGACTTCCAGGCTTCCCGTAATATCAAGGACACAAAGCTTGAACAGCACGCCCCAACATGCTTTGAAAAGAATGATCGTCAAATATGAAGACAAGTTACGAGCTGTCAACATGTTTCCGGCATACAGAGAAGCTCGAAATGTGCTACTCGCAACCTTAAATTTATCCCAGTGCACTTTTACCTTGATTTATGTAGCCTTAGGCATCGCACAATATATCCATTACAACGTGCGGACGCCACAACGCCAGAGAGCATCTGGAACATCCTTGTGGCTGCAGCGGCTAGCGTTGTGGAAGGCGTATTTTCTGCGTATGGCAAGTTAGCGGCGGACGGCTTCACCCGAGCGGCATCGTCTCCACTCCAGTAAATTTTACTTTTTTACTTTAAGCTCTTTAGTCCTGGTCCTGAGGGAGTAAATTTTCGTGACTGCGGCCTGTTAGCTAAGGCACCCCTGCTGCAGGTTAAGGCGCAGAACTTACCAAGATCCATAAGCAAATGATTGATTTATTTTCTGTGTGCCTGGAACATTACATATTATAAGATAAAAGCCACGTACAAGGGCTAACAATTTTCTAAAACAGCTGAAATATAATAGAGTCAAGTTATAAATAAGTATGAATTGCTAACAATATGACCAGATGTGGCTAATATTCTTATGAAAGTTGCGATGAGTGGAACCTGAAAGAAGTGTGTCATAAATATTTTTTCAAAAAAAAAGTGCACTGCAGTACCGGTAGGGCAACTAATCCTTTAAAGAAGTTGCACTGTAGACTGCTCTTCACCCTTCATTTAACAATAAGTAAAAAAGGGACTTAATTTGGTCCTTCACTTTCGCAAAGTATATGGCATCAGTTGTTTTTGGAGAAGCTCGCATGAAATATTTTCATGCTAAGAGTGCTTTCGTCGAAAAGATTTACTGATGACCAAGGCCATTCAAATATTATAACTATTTGCGCATTACTTTAGTCCGGTCAAGATCCCTGTTCTGAGGAGCATATATATGTTGTAAAATATTACAAAAAAAGAAAAACTCACTTCGTTGGAATCGTAGGTCAAAAAGTCTTCGTACTTTGTCCTCAAATATTTTCCCAAGTTGTACTGGTCGTTCTTGCCTTTCTGAAAAAGAAAAAAAGATTTACCCCTACATCTAGCATTTCAGCCTTATTTGTAAATTTTACCCTACCTCAGTGTATTCTTATTGAGTGTAGGCAAACCTTTAAGAACGTGCATTTCCCAACACGCTCAAGTATTTGCTCTTTCCCACTTCGCACCTAATACCATCATCATTAGCCTGATTACGCCCACTGCAAGGCAAATGCCTCCTCTATGTTCCGCCAATCAACCCGGTCCTGTGTTTTCTGCTGCCACTTTATACCTGCAAACTTCTTAATTTCATTTGCCAAGCCAATTTTCTGTCTCCCTCTGACGCATTCGCCTTCTCTTGAAATCCATTCAGGTACCAATAATGACTAGTGGTTATCCTGCCTACGCGCTAGCTACGTGCCCGGACCATGCCCATTTCTTCTTCTTGATTTCAACTATCATATCATTAATCCCAGTTAATTCTCTGACGCACTATGTTCTCTTCTTGTCTCTTAAGAGTACACCTATCATTTTCCTTTCCATCGCTCGCTGCGTCGTCCTAAATTTAAGCTGAACTCTTTTTGTAAGCCTTCAGGTTTCTACTCCATTGTAAGTATACCGGTAAGATAGATGCAGTTGTTGTATACATTCGCGCCTGGCACTATTATACAAACGAGAAATTTGTTCACTTTCCTGGAAGAAACGAGCGAGCTACTACTACAAAGCTTCACGCAGCTGCTCAGCTTTCCTTAAGCCACTGGTAATGACGCAGTAACAACGAAGGCTTCTATTCACAAAATATTTCTTACGCAAGTGCCATTCGCGGCTGGGCAAGCTATAGTTGGCAACTGTATTAGTAAAACTGTCGCGCTAATATCATTGCCTTACTTGGCACGCAGTTAGCTATACAGGCGTCACATGTGAACGATATATTAAAAATTGATACTGCAGAGTCATTGCGAAACAGCGAATACAACTCTGCTAATTTTACATTATTCGATTTGCGCACCTTCAAGAGATGACTGGCGCTAGTGACATGTTGTCGGCTTAGTTAGCAAATGATACTCCAAGCTGAAACACGCTCAAGCTTGCTTTCACTTGACAGATCAGCAGATAGGAGAGGCGGCGTTCTTACTTTCAATCCTACAGAGTGAGCGTTGTTGCAACCAGCCTTTGCAGGAACCGGGGACCCAGGATTAAGATGCGAAGGCCAGAGGAAGGAAAACTTAACAGGGGGTGTATTTACATTTTGTACATGGCAAGCTCTCTGGCCCAAAGCTCTACATAAAAAAAGCTCTCGAAGCAGCCTGAAAAGGCTGATTATAAGGAGTCTCGTTTCCCCAGATTCCTAGATCGTGGAACGGGTCCAGGCTGCACTATCCCATAACACGTCCCACAGCGCTTCCGAGGCTCATTATGCCGGCACCACCCCCAACACACACACAGCCCAAACACCTGTATTGTTACGGCGACGCTGTCTCATCCGGGAAATCATGCTTCCAGCCAGCGCGGTGTGATGAGTCCGTAATCCCTCCGCTCGGCCCGTCCACCTATGCTGTCTAAAGGTGGTCGCAGGCCAGGTGCCTCCGATGACATGCACCTGGACATCTGATTTGAGCGTCCGTGGCCTATCAGTCAGGGACGCACAGCGTGGTGTAATATAACGCGCTGCATAAGCCGTTAACTGTAACTTGGAGAGATGGAAATCGCCTGTAGTTCGTTATAAGTTGTGTTAGGGAACGACAAGTTTTCGCCATCGGCCATACCATGCTGAATGCGCCGCCATGGTCCGAATGCCGTTATCGGCGGAAAGTCGGCGTTGAGGCCTTTCCTGGACCACAAAGGCGCCTCCCGTCGCATTTTCATGCCGGCCCCAGTGACAGCAGTGCTTCGTCTAGTAATTTCGCCCACGCACCTCACAGCGCATGAAAAACAACCGGGAGTCTTTGTACTCTTCCTTATCTCCACAAAGTGAGGCGGCTGTCTTTCTTCCGTTCCGGCGCCCGTGGCATGGGTTGGCTCGCAGATCGCAACATCGTTGCGTCATGCCGCTGCGCCATTTCCTTAGAATACAGCTGTGTCAGTAAATCAGACTGAAAATGGCCACTTATAACTCTTCATTAAGGAGATTACCTTAACGATTACCCTTAAGTAAGTGACGCTTCCGAAATGCAGGTCTTGTTGTTTAACGTAGTTTTAGCTGCGCATTACCACGACTCACTGGCTCCGAGAAATAATGAACAAAAGTGTTCTCGCAATCTTATAATGTTTATTAATGTGCGAGAGACTTCGACATCTCGCGTCACGTGTACAGATTTTGCAACCAACGCTAACAAGGCGCGATGAACATAAATCTAAGCTCCAGAACTGCACTCATCAGATCAGCGACAAGAGTCTTGCAGCAGAACGTGAGGCGTTAAGAACGCGTGCTCCATTCATGGAGGTTGCGTAATGACAAACTTACAACGCTAATGACAAATCAATGAACTAGGACGCGCGGATGCACCTACCACATTCTAGATGATGCTGTGTTCTTTACTTTCTCAGTTCGGTGTGTCAACAGTGACGTTCTCCGTTCGAAATGTAACTTTTATGCGAAAATCATCCTCCAATTATTTTTGTTTCTTTTGTCTGCGCCGGCGAAAGCTGACACGATTGAAGCTGACAGCAAAACGTTCTCGGAACGTTTTCACGAATTACCCGCTCCCAAAGGATGCCTCGACGGTTGGGCAAGGATTCATAGCTGTTTCTGGACGATTTTACAAGCATATATATATATATATACATATATATATATACATATATATATATATAAAATAAAATATATATATATATATATATATATATATATATATATATATATATATATATATATATATATATGTATGTATATAAGGCCTATATGCAGAAGAATAACATCGGTTGCCGCAAGGTTATAAATATGAAAGTAGATGCGCTTTCACATAACAACTGTTTATTGTGCCGACGTTTCGACAGGAACCCTGTCTTTTTCAAGGCATAATGCCTTGAAAAAGACAGGGTTCCTGTCGAAACGTCGGCACAATAAACAGTTATGTGAAAGCGCATCTACTTTCATATATATATATATATATATATATATATATATATATATATATATATATATATATATATATATCATGTACAAAATTGTTAAAAGCTTGACCTATTGCCAGCCAGAGTGGCAGTCGAACGTCGATCCTTCAAAAACGGGCCGCCCTACAGATCCCAGCTGACATGTAATTACAAGAGGGCAAACAATCACCGAGTAATTCCGTCGACCACGTCAACCGAAGGATGAGCGCCTGGCACACATTTTCCCGTTGGTTTATGCCAGCAAATGAAGTTGACGCAATCGAACAGCTCAGCGCGTTCACGGAAGCACGCCTCCCAAATTCCGCAGCAGCCGGTCGCCGACTGCAGCCTTACACGCACGGCCCCACGTGCAACAGCGACGCCGAAGGAGCGACAGCGAGGACCGCGTCGTGGGACACGCGATAATGGCCGCGGGGTACAGTTAATGGGTGCGTGAAAAATTGTGCCACTCCACACGCCTCGGGCTTCGCTTGAAATATAACGCTGTAAAATTTGAGTAGAGCCACGGCAGAACAACTGTGGCGAGTGATTTATACCCCCCGTCACCAAACGTGCATCACGGTGTATTTGCTCGTTCTTTGATGTGTTTTTATCGCTCTCTCTCTCTCTCTCTTTCTCTCTCTATCTATCTGTCTCTCCTCCTCTGTGACAACGCCATTGAACCAACTCGAAGGAGGAAGGACATAGAGGGGGAGATTGAAGTGAAATTGCGCACGCAGGCACACACGGAAAAAATAGTTTCCGGGAAGGGCACAGCAGGGGACGCCAACAAGCGCTTACCGAGGGGCATTTATCACTGCTTTGTTCATCTTTTAGTGTTGGATACTGCTATTGGATCTCTGCTGCGGCATGAAGTACGTAACGCGAACTCTGAGAGCCGCTGAGCGCTCCACTGCGGTGCCTTGACTACTTTTGCTGCGTGACAGCGACGAGCGAAATTCTTAGAGCCCACCGCATGCTAATCATGATTTCTTTTATTGGCCCCACGAACTCGACTTTTTGTTTCGTCGTGGTAAATGTTCGTCTCTGCTTAGAATTTATTTGAAGTTAGTGCTTTGAATATTTTTTGGAGGGACGCATGTTATGCCTTTCCTCCTCTTTTATTCTTTCCACATCCTGATTTCATGAATCGGGAGTCTGTAGGAAGACAGGTGATCAGCTGGATGTGCTGAATTTTTTTTTCCTATTACAAAAGGGGAAAGTGCACGCGGTAATTCCCTGTTTCTTGCTGTTCTGTTCCAACTGACGTGTGGTGATGAATTTGGTGCTTATATTATCTCCACTACTCCATTTCTACTGGTTCTTCCCCGCTAAAATAAATAAATAAAGTGCTTATTCGGAGTAAAAAGTTAACAACTAAAAAACCTACAGCACGCTGACATAAGTTAAAATAACCTGACATTGTACAGTTGGCTTGCACGAATCGAGATTCCAATGAAACATCCTCCCGCACACATTTCTGATAGGGCCCACAATATAGTCTGTCGCAAAAGTCCCACATTTTTCTCTGTTGTTGTTGTTGTTGTTGTCCTTGCTGTTGTCGTGGTTGTTGTTGTTGTTTTTATTCAAAAAAACATTCATTCAATATATGCTTACAATCTTTTCAGAACTTTACAGCGTATTCCCTGGCTTTTTCGATGCGCCGTTTCTGACGTTTCATATAGAATCTTTGTAGTCGCCCTAGAAACTTCCGTCAGTTATGTCATCGCTGCTGCTTTTACCATCTACAACGTCTCATGTCAATTTTTTTTCTCGGGGTTCTTCTGGTTCTCTGTAGCAAAAAAGTCCGGTGATGCCAGATCAGAGCTGTGCAATGGTTGGGGCTTCCCATGCAATTCATTTTGGCCAGCAACTCGGAGATATTGAGTGGTGTCTGTCGTAAATGGCGTGTTTGCGTGGTTCCAGTTCCGATTATCGCAATTTTTTCTCGAACACATCAACTCGTTGCTCCAGCGTTTGATCATATCACAGTAAAACTCCCTGTTGCCAGCTTGTCCTTGTGGCACGAATGCACTGTGAACCATGCCTTTTCTGTTGAAAAACAAAATGATCATTGCCTTGATTCGCGACTTGCTCATCTTTACTTTTTTTTTTTTCGGGCGAGAAACTTGTTGATGTGCATCTGGCTGTTCTGACATTATTGAAACCTTTTGAACCACATGACTTTTTTTTCTCAATGAGGGTGCAGTATTTACATTTGCGTGGAGTTCGACCATGCGTTCACAATTGCCACTTAGGCAATTGAGACAGGTATCATTCCGAAGTCTACATCCCCCATTAAGCCATTTTCCCGATGACCTGCCCTGCCAGGCAGCATTGCCGACAAGACGAAAAAATTGTAGCAACTTTTGGGAGTTCCCTGTCTGTATACATCAGCACATCATTGCGTATATAGCAACACACCGCGGTTCATCGCAAGCGCTTATCCAGTCAAGTGTTCCCTAACAAGTATTTCAGGAAAATGTTTGCTTTTTTCTAAAGACGCATTTTATGCCACGGTGCAAGTTATTTCTGTAATGTGAGGCGGCACCTCTCCAAACTGCTAATTTTGTTTCTAATTTTCTCTCTCACTTGCATACTTTACACTTTCTAAAATAATGTTCCTTAATTACAATCTAATCTTCATGACCACAGTCGTATTCCTATTCCGGTGAGGTGGATTGGTGTATCTTGTGCAGGAAGCTATTCACGACGCACACGTGATAAACTTACAAATTGCGGGCAATTTGTATATAACAGTGTTAAATAAAAGTAATACGCAGTGGTCCAAACAATCCTCAAGAAGATTAATAAAAATAAAATAAAGTATTATTTAAATATCACATTTGTTATCTATGATCTGTCATGTGTTATCTATGATATTATAGATAACAGATGCGGCTCTCACATTGCTGAAGGATGTATTGAGTGGCATAGAGAAAAGGCCACGTTGACCAAGTCAACAAATAATACTTTCGGTCGGATCACGCATAACAAAGTACAAGGGTCGCTTGCCTCTCTCTCATGAAAGAGCAAAACACTTTCGTGCTAAAAAAAACACATAGTATAATTCAAGACGCCCTCTAAAGTTCGAACGCCTTCACAATTCAACGCTGAAAAGGTGCTTTTTTCTATTAACGCAGGAATATATGGTGGTTAGTCGTAATTTAAGCAGAGTACATGTCATGTTCAGAATGTTGATGCATAGCTAATTGCGGGAATGTGTTGTACATTACCTCCATTAGCCTTAGCCTATACTTGTGGCGTTAAAACACCATTTCGGTATCGATCAAAACAGCGTGATAAGTGCCGCGCTTTCAGTAAATAAATTATCAAGCCATGTGTGCGTATACTCACGTGCGTTATGTGACCGAGGCCTTCTGGAAAATCCCTGGGCGAGTTTGGATCGTTGGGGTATAGCGACGTTGGCGTGCGGTCTCCGTGGCGAAACATCTGAAAATACCATTCATTCGCAAGAGCTTAGTTTCCTGTACACCCTAATTGCACGTATACAGATATCAATAGAAGAGAAGCACAGGGGTGCGTCACTTTATGCTCGCTTTTTTTTTCATTGGCATATGTTCTTGCTATACCTTTTTTTTACCCTGTATGCAAAATATTAGGTGCTATGACAGAATCTGTCTTCCAACAAAGTGGTGAGGCTCTTGTTACTTCACCGTGCCATACCAATGTGCACGTCTTTCGTAACGAGTTGATCAAGGGATGCTTCATTGCGGCCTTCGAGAGCTTCGGTGTGTCAGGAATGCCCGCGCAAGCCGCGCTAAACATTCAAGCGAGCTCGCTGGTGACACTGCGCGAGCAAGTGTGCCAAATAACGTGCGACCGAGCCCCTATACACGTTGCACGGCGTGAACCGTGCCTGAAGTAGCATCGCCGCCTAAGAGGGAACAACGCCTGCAGCGTGACTCGAGCTAAAGACTTTGTGGATTGGTACTAAAGTAGCTGCGCGTTCGTGTATGCGCATGCACGTAGTATCCGTATTCTACAGCTGTAATAAAAGGCGCGCGCCACGAATAACGCATTATCGCTGCCCAAGATGCGTGAGGGAGTTGCGGTGCTTGCAACTGGTTGCATTCATTCTCATCTGCACGTCCCTTACTTCATTTACAGAAGAGGTGGATGGGCGGCCAATCTGAATTGTAAAGAAAATCCGGCAAATGCGCACATGCGGTTCCAGCGCCAACCCTTGGAGGGGTGCGCGCGAAAGCTCCAGTAGGCCGATCGCGGGGCGCGACACAACGCCAGAGACGGCGTTCTTTTCGGCGCGCCGTGCGCGTGATGGACGACCTGCTTGGCCGCTGAATACCGGCGCGCAAGCGCCGCTCGTATTTCACCGCGTATTTCACGCACCGTTGCTCGCACGTCAAGCGCGGGCGCTGACGCGTCCCGCTACCGCTTCGGCAGAGGCGCAAAATGGGCGGCGGATACGCAACGCTTCTGCCGATGTGCGTGCTTCGACACCGACGGCCGATAAAGCGGCGAGATCGCCGTCCACCCTTTTACGCCAGCGGCGTCGAGTCGGTTGACCGTAAGTTATACACGTCACAGTTGTCGACTCCGCGGCTCTCGGTGGTCAGTGCAATAAATAGTACGAAAACGTAGTGGTCGGGCAAGCGGCGATTCAAGGTTTAAGGATTGCATCGGTGCTGTTCATGAAGCCATAAAACAGAAACAACGACCCATTATTTAAATATCACATTTGTTATCTATGATCTGTCATGTGTTATCTATGATATCATAGATAACAGAGGCGGCTCTCACATTGCTGAAGGATGTATTGAGTGGCATATAAAAAAGGCCACGTTGACCAAGTCAACAAATAATACTTTCGGTCGGATCACGCATAACGAAGTACAAGGGTCGCTTGCCTCTCTCTCATGAAAGAGCAAAACACTTTCGTGCTACGAAACACATAGTATAATTCACGACGCCCTCTAAAGTTCAAACGCTTTCACAATTCAACGCTGAAAAGGTGCATTTTTCTATTAACGCAGGAATTTATGGTGGTTAGTCGTAATTTAAGCATAGTACATGTCATGTTCAGAATTTGATGCATAGCTAATTGAGGGAATGTGTTGTACATTACCTCCATTAGCCTTAGCCTATACTTGTGGCGTTAAAACACCATTTCGGTATCGATCAAAACAGCGTGATAAGTGCCGCGCTTTCAGTAAATAAATTATCAAGCCATGTGTGCGTATACTCACGTGCGTTATGTGACCGAGGCCTTCTGGAAAATCCCTGGGCGAGTTTGGATCGTTGGGGTATAGCGACGTTGGCGTGCGGTCTCCGTGGCGAAACATCTGAAAATACCATTCATTCGCAAGAGCTTAGTTTCCCTGTACACCCTAATTGCACGTATACAGATATCAATAGAAGAGAAGCACAGGGGTGCGTCACTTTTATGCTCGCTTTTTTTTTCATTGGCATATGTTCTTGCTATACCTTTTTTTTACCCTGTATGCAAAATATTAGGTGCTATGACAGAATCTGTCTTCCAACAAAGTGGTGAGGCTCTTGTTACTTCACCGTGCCATACCAATGTGCACGTCTTCGTAACGAGTTGATCAAGGGATGCTTCATTGCGGCCTTCGAGAGCTTCGGTGTGTCAGGAATGCCCGCGCAAGCCGCGCTAAACATTCAAGCGAGCTCGCTGGTGACACTGCGCGAGCAAGTGTGCCAAATAACGTGCGACCGAGCCCCTATACACGTTGCACGGCGTGAACCGTGCCTGAAGTAGCATCGCCGCCTAAGAGGGAACAACGCCTGCAGCGTGACTCGAGCTAAAGACTTTGTGGATTGGTACTAAAGTAGCTGCGCGTTCGTGTATGCGCATGCACGTAGTATCCGTATTCTACAGCTGTAATAAAAGGCGCGCGCCACGAATAACGCATTATCGCTGCCCAAGATGCGTGAGGGAGTTGCGGTGCTTGCAACTGGTTGCATTCATTCTCATCTGCACGTCCCTTACTTCATTTACAGAAGAGGTGGATGGGCGGCCAATCTGAATTGTAAAGAAAATCCGGCAAATGCGCACATGCGGTTCCAGCGCCAACCCTTGGAGGGGTGCGCGCGAAAGCTCCAGTAGGCCGATCGCGGGGCGCGACACAACGCCAGAGACGGCGTTCTTTTCGGCGCGCCGTGCGCGTGATGGACGACCTGCTTGGCCGCTGAATACCGGCGCGCAAGCGCCGCTCGTATTTCACCGCGTATTTCACGCACCGTTGCTCGCACGTCAAGCGCGGGCGCTGACGCGTCCCGCTACCGCTTCGGCAGAGGCGCAAAATGGGCGGCGGATACGCAACGCTTCTGCCGATGTGCGTGCTTCGACACCGACGGCCGATAAAGCGGCGAGATCGCCGTCCACCCTTTTACGCCAGCGGCGTCGAGTCGGTTGACCGTAAGTTGTACACGTCACAGTTGTCGACTCCGCGGCTCTCGGTGGTCAGTGCAATAAATAGTACGAAAACGTAGTGGTCGGGCAACGGCGATTCAAGGTTTAAGGATTGCATCGGTGCTGTTCATGAAGCCATAAAACAGAAACAACGACCCATTATATCATTATCAAAAGCAATTGGAAACGCAACCTTTTTTTTAATATTTACGCGCGTACGTGCTGTTACGATGAAAATTACCCGCAACACTGCATTCGATTATTTTACACGTTGCGAAACGCACTCATTCCAAAACAAACTCACCCTCTCATGTTATTATGACGAAAAAGGAAGGGAGTATTGGTGGCGGGGAGTTGCGGGGTCACCATCTATCAAACGCACCTCGTTTGCAGGATTACCAGCTCTAAAAGTCAAATAATATTTGGGTGATAAAAGAATGGCTCATTTGTATAGGGAAATTCATTATTCGTGTCCGTAATACACGGCTGAGTAAGAGCATGTATTGCGCGGAAAGCCACACAACAACGTCAATAATTTGTCGGTTCTTGACGCCGAATACACCCCAACGTATCGTCAATACTTCTTTTTTTTTTTTGTCCGCGGTTAGTTTATTGTACGTCCGCGACTTACTAATGCACGTCACGGAAGCCGACAAAAGCGGATGACAAAGAAACATTTATTGGTATGATCTATCTATCTATCTATCTATCTATCTATCTATCTATCTATCTATCTATTTATCTAACTATCTATCTATCTATCTATCTATCTGTCAAATTTTTAGTGCTCTAGTGTTCACTTCGCTGGCTTGACATATACCAATTATTTGATTGACATGTGGGATTTAACGTCCCAAAACCACCATATGATTATGAGAGACGCCGTAGTGAAGGGCCCCGGAAAATTTGACCACCTGGGGTTCTTTAATTGACATATACCGATGTCATGACAAACATACCATAACGCACATTTTATGTGTTCATGCGAACCATGCTATATGCGCCCTCGTTTTAGCGCCCTTGTGGTCGCTGACTTGATATACACTAAATCTTGCATTGTAGGGCATAATGGTATGAAAAAAAAATTAATGACAGGTTGTAATAAATATTTCATGACATCCACGTAATGTAGGTGATGATATAAACAAAAAAATGTAAGCGTGATTCCACTGCAACAGTTTTATTGCTTTGCTTTTATGCCGGAACGTGCACCACATTAAGTATGAGCATAATGAAAGTACCTATAGAAGAGAATAGCGTCAATGACATGATGTATGAAGCCACCGTGTCGTTTACTTAACAGGGTATATTCGAGAACGGGCATGCGCGCATGATAAACATGCGTTAATAAATTATTTTTCATGACATGCATCGCACGAAACATCATGATTTGTATCCTGTGCATGTCATGTATGGCATAACATAAAATACTTAATGACGTGGTGCCATTGTAGTAATTTAACTGGATATATATATATATATGAGATCTAACAGACAGTAATGCCAAGGAGTGTACAGGGGAAGTTATTAGAACCAATGGAATGTAAATAAGAAGAAAGAAAAGTGGGTGAAAGGATAACCAGCTCACGGCTGGTTATCCTTTCACCCACTTTTCTTTCTTCTTATTTACATTCCATTGGTTCTAATAACTTCCCCTGTACATTCCTTGGCATTACTGTCTGTTAGATCTCATTAATATTGTGTCAAACACTGAAAAACGAGCCCTTAGGTATACACTTCTTTCCCTTATATATATATATATATATATATATATATATATATATATATATATATATATATATATATATATATATACATATATATATATATATATATATATATATATATATATATATATATATATATATATATATATATATATATATATATATATATATATGTGTGTGTGTGTGTGTGTGTGTGTGTGTGTGTGTGTGTGTGTGTGTGTGTTTGTCTGTGTGTGTGCTATGACGTGCACTTCATTTGTTCGCATGCAAATACTGTGTAATAGTCCATTGCCTATAGACCACATTAACTGAGCTATAAAATAGCTTTTCAGCGTCGCTGTTTACTAAGCGTGCCTGATGTACACGCTAATGTACACTTCTCCATTTTTGTGCATCCGCCTCGGAACACTTGGCTCAGGGTCAAACTGTATGCCCTCTCCTTTTTGACTGTTTCGCGTAGCACCGATTCCCACAGTGCGTGAGATATGCTGATATTTTTTTTTCTTTTTTTGTGTATGATTTCGTTTCACAGCGAAGCTACGCATGGTTCGCTTCTCAAAATTTCTTGGCATCCTTCTCAGTGAAGCGTGGGAGGCTGAAGTCTCCCAGCCGGACCTGGTCGAGCAGCGTCAACTTGTCACTCGAGCCCGGTGGGCTGTCCAGGCCAAAGGGTTCCTGGAATAACGCACCCTTCCACCTTCACTCACAAGCTTCATTCAATAAATGTTTTCTCTCTCTCTCTCTCTCTCTCTCTCTCTCCTTGAGCAGCATGCGCTTTGTGACGAAGCCATCTTTGCAAGTCTCAACCTTTATTCGAAAATGATCACTGTGCTTGACATATACCAATTGATTGATTGATATGTGAGGTTTCACGTCCCAAATCCCGCATATGATTATGAGAGACGCCGTAGTGGAGGAATCCGGAACGCACCGTGAATTCTCCAGTTAAGGTTACCCTAACGTTACACCTAGTTCTGTTTAGCTCACGTGATTACTTATTTATTTATTTAAAGCGTCCTTACAGGGCTCGTCCGAGGCACTGATATGGGGGGTATCACAAAATAAATGATCACGATTAAGAAAGGAAGGAAAGAGAAGGCAAGATACAAGCCAGTCGAGAAGGACTGCTTTGCCACCCCACGCTGAGGACAGTGGAAGGGGGAGGGGGGATTTTGTCATACATACAATGATACAGAATGAAATGGTTGAAAGCACACACATAGCTTCATAAATACGATATAATATTACCTAACAATAATTGTAAGTAGTGATGATTGCAGCTAAAGATCCGGTTACTTTACCTTGAAGTTTTAAGTGTTACGAAATTCCTGTCGGCCGTAAATACTGGGGCATTAAGGGGGGAGCAAGGTCACAGAAAATGGTTGTGATTCGTACTTTACGAGCATTATCTCAAAAAAATATAGCTGACGTTTGGCTTTTAAATTTTAGGGGCGAAGCTTTTTAAAGCCGCACCCGTTCGTCTCTCGTAGTCGTAGTGTGTAACCAGTGTTACATTTTTACCTGCAAGGTGGTGCCGGTGGGAGATTTCTCCTGTGCTTTGTTGAACAATAAAAAGTTCGCGGCGTGCGCGTTTTAACTAAAAGCCGAATGCTCCTGTCTCTCATTCCCCATTAGCAGCCATTGGCATGTTTCAGTAGGAAACGTCAGTAGAAGTAGAAGCGTTAAAAGCCGACTTCTACAGTCTCGCATTCCCAGTAGCAGCCATTGTTTACCTGAAAGGTAGTGCCTGGTGATATTACTCCTGTGCGTGATTAAACAATACAAAATTTTTGTTCTAAACGCCGTTGATTGATGAAATAAACCAACGAAAGACGCCAAATGTTTTCTAAAGGCAAAACAAAAAGACTCCAGATGTTTCTAAAGCAAAACAAAAAGAAGACGCCAGCTGCTTAACGAAAGACGCCAGGTGTTTTCTAAAGCAATGGTTTTATAATCAAAACCATATCGATACAGGTTTGTAGTTGCCGATGCTCGTTGCCATCGGTGTGTGCTCGTATGGTACATTGAGCACTATCTGAAAGAAAAGTGTTGCTATGTTATACTCGCTGGGCGTAATCTCCTTGGTTTTAGAAAAGTTTAACAAGCGTTGGGCTGCAGTGCCATAAATACAGTGAACTAGTCTATACCACTAGGTGGTTAAAGGTGGGAAGTAGACCCGAAGCGCAATCCGTAAGAAAGTGTGCGTGTGCCACCTCTCGTTTAGTCCTTGGAATGTCCGCTGGATGGCGGTGCTTCTATAAGGGGAATATATGATGAAAAGATGCGAGATGGTGGTACTTGGAGTGTTGAATAGCTGGACGAACGGACACACAGACAGATGCATGGACGAATGCAGAGGTGGATGCATGGATGAACGCAGGGACGGATGCACGAACAGACGCACGTGCGAATGGGTGGATGGACGCATGGACGGTCACACACATGGACGCATGGACGAACTGCGATAAACAGGCTCCATCGCAGTTAAAAAAACTTGCTTTTACCAGTTTAATTCGCCCTAAAATAGAATATGCCAGTGCCATTTGGGATCCTCATCAAGCCTACATCGTATCAAATATTGAATCTTTGCAAAACCGAGCTGCTCATTTCATTTACTCAGATTATTCTACCTATTCCAGCGTAACTAACTTAAAAAACCGTGCTGAACTAGAGGATTTGGCCATTCGTCGGAAATATGCACGCCTATCACTTTTCCACAAACTTTACTATCACCCATCATTACATGACAGTTTCTTTGAACCCGCCTGTTCCATCTTTCCCCGCCGTGATCATCCTAACAAAGTCAAACGCCCGCTATCTCGCACACTTCGTTTCGCTCAGTCATTCATCCCGCGCACTATTATTGAGTGGAACAGTTTGCCTGCACATATTGCCACCGAGAAAGACTCGGTAAAGTTTTCAGAGCTCATGCGCACTACGGTGACTAACTAAATATTTTTTGCTTTTGTTGTTTTGTTTTCTTTCGTTTTTTAACTATTGTATAACGCCATGCAATGGCTGCCCGTATTCATGGTTTGCGCTTTGTTGCGGTTATCACGTTGCACTGTATCTTGCTGTAAACCATGTTGTATTGCCCCCCCCCCCATGTAATACCCTCTTCTAGAGGGCCTTTAGGGGTAACCTGAATAAAAAAAAAACGGAAGCAAGAATGAATGGACGGACGAATGCTTCGCCCCACTCTCCATCATTCACTCTGTGGATATGCTGCCATTTTTTATAAAGCACAGTATTACACAAGTGAGATTTATAGTTGCGCTTTGTCACACGCAAAAAAAAAACTTGGGCTAGATTTTAATAACAGTATATCACAAAAATTACTTATTGGACTGGAATGTTGTAAGACATATTATACTGAGTGCAAGCATAATGTCTGCCTAGTAAGATATTGTATTTTACTTCTGAAAGAAAAAGTTTTCTATCTACAAAGGTTAACAAGCGCAATTAAAAGCGAACAGTCTATTTTTACGTAAATAGAGTTTCACTCAGTTATTTACAAAGTGTGCTGCGGGAAAGAACACTGTTAACATAAACTTGTACTTATGCTAACCTAACAATTTTGTTATAGTCACCGCATACGAAACGCTGTTTCTGTATACAGAAGCAGATGCTTGGGCGAGTTGTTTTGGTAGTTGACGGCGTGCGTCTACTTTGACGCTATGTGATGGCGTATAGCGTAGCACTATTTTGCTACCTTTTTTTTATGTTCACGTGCTGCACTGTACGCCGTCATGAGTGTAAAGGGCGTAATAAACCTATGTGCCCTTGTTTCACTGTATGTCCAGCAACCTTTATTAAAGCATGCTTTTATATCACAACAGTGTCGTTGCATGCCTGCAGCATGGTCAAGTCTTCGCAACTGTTCTTGCGGATGTTTCATTGGTCTCCCACAACACTGCTGCTAGTTAGAGGTATTGAGGTCAAGTCCGCTATAACAGTGCCTATACCGGTGAGTGACATACCTCCAAACGAATTGGGCTGATGGTAAGACCTAAACAATTCTGTTATACTTTAGACCACGGTGCTGAGTAGACGCGAGGCACCAGGCACGTGCGCCGGAGGTGTGTGTGTGTGAGTGAGTGATTGAGTGAGTGATTGAGTGAGTGAGTGAGTGAGTGAGTGAGTGAGTGAGTGAGTGAGTGAGTGAGTGAGTGAGTGAGTGAGTGAGTGAGTGAGTATTCAACCGACTACATTGGTTGTGGCACGTTAACACTATTTTGACTAATTTTGGCTTATTCGTATGGCGATATTCTAGATTTGTATTTGTGCACGTAATATGGAGATATCTAAACGCAAGCACAGTCACTGTAGTAACATCACGTATCAAAACGCAAGCACAAGCGTTAGAATACTCATGTAAGTGGTCGAAACTTGTTTCAGTACACATCTTAGCAATAATTACAACACCTAGTTTCCCTTGATAAATAACAAATATAAACACGTGATTGACATAAATTTTCCCAAAACACACTGAGTTTTCCAAACCAATAATAATTCTGCGCGACTACATGGTAACGAAACACAACAGACCTGCGTGTCATACACGGCGGCACATCAGTTCGATCACGTTATTTTCTCTACTACCAGCTGTCTTCATCACCAACACGGAACGCAGTGCTTGATACTGTCAACATCCATACGCCATTCCAACTCTAAACGGCAAGCTGTGGAGCTAAAGGTACAATTACGTGAGTTATTCATAGCAAAACAGGTCGTACGGTGCCCACGCGCAACAGTTGCGGCGGCGGGCTACTTGTGAACGCACCAGGCCACACATTTGCATCTGAAAAAGCAAATAAGACATGGGGGGGGGGGGGGGGGAGACAAAAAGTGCCGCACCGCCGAGCGAACGCATGCATTGAGAGGAAGAAGACGAAGAGGAAGATTAACGGGATGGCGTTGATCGGTTACTCACGACGTGTAGCTGGCGTAAGGTGCTCGCCTCGCCGCACTGCTGTATGCTGCGGGCCGCGGCGCCGGCCGCGAAAACCAGGAGACACGCAAGCTTCATGGTTAGAGGCAGCAGCGGGAAAAACTCTAAGCGGCCGGCCACGCGGTCTCTGTTTTTGAAGGACTGGCACTCAAGGACAGCGCGGCGCGAGCTCACGGCCGCCGGCGCGCGTGCACAAGTGGCGGGCCCCCGCTTGACCAATCAGCACGGCCAAATTCCGCGGACCGCCCGCTTTGGCACCGCACCGCCGGTTTCTGATATCGTCCAGCTCGTCAGAGGCCTCCTACTCGGTCACAACCCTGTAACACCATTGTGTCCGAAGCACGACTAGCAAAAGAGACAAGGTGGGAAACCCAAGAAGCCGTTGTGTTCGCTCGAACCGTAAAGAAGGTCAGCCAAGACGTCCCCGTATTATGTTCTCCAACGTGTTTGTGGTGATGACCGGGATGACGGTAGTGGAGCAGACGAGGTTCTTGACTTCCGAGTTACGCTGATATAAAGCGAACGTAGGCTGAACGATGAAGACAGCGTTTTTTTTTTAAATATAATTATTACTGTTTTGTGCTCGTGTAAGCCGATTCTGGTAGTCGTGCATACGAAGAAAACATAGCACGTGTACACTGGTACACGCTTTCCGGCCAGCTGCGATTCCCACCAGTGCAAGTGCGTTGGTACTACAGCCATACGCGTTAATTGCTATTGTAAAAGCGCTATAAGCAGTCCATTTTCTTCAGCTTTTTGAAGCTCGTTGGAGCATGTGATACTTGGGATGCACAAAATGACTCACTAGGTAGCGTACAAAATTGTGTCCATTTCCCTCAATTGCCCTCTTCCTTTCATTTTTCATTTTCTTCTTCTAGAGACAATCTGTTTAATGAAACATTACCAAACCAATCTGGTGTTGTTCATAATATGCGTGGCTGATGCAGGCTTCCGACGGATCTTCGTAGCGAAGCTAGCGTGCGAACGTTTCAAATTAACTAGATCCTAGTTTACCAGGTCGTGGAGACACCAGCAAGAAAAGAATATGGAGTGCAGAACATAAAGCTTTACCGTGTAAGTAGAGCAGGAAAAAAGAACCGCAAGATGTATCACACTACTGGATCATTCACTTTTCTCATTGCAATAGGAATATTCCTAAATCCCTAAGCGGAGAGGGGATAGCTAGCTGTAGGCAGCTACGATGCAATAATGCGTGAAGACGCGGTACAGCGCGGTGCCATGTCCAATTGTCTGTGTTTTTTCGCTCTGTTATACATGATGAATCTGCACCAACTAGCCCAGTTTTCCAAGTTACTTAAAGCGTCAGTGTTCGACTACCACCATGATGAAGACAGCTGTGTGCAGTGAACACGAGCCGTTTTCTCAAAGATGCACATGTTGCCCCAGAGGCAATTGCAAAGAGCATCAGCTTAGACGACACCGTTGCGCTTGTCTCTGACAGCGAGGTGGAAAGTTCACGCACGACCACCTCATGGTTCGAAAAAGCAACTCGAAAACTCGAACTGGAGCGGCGTACGTCAGACGTTCACAAATAATTGGGAGGTATATATATATATATATATATATAATATATATATATATATATATATATATATATATATATATATATATATATATATATATATAATATATATATATATATATAAGGAATGTATAGGAGAAGTTATTAGAACGAATGGAATGTAAATAAGAAGAAAGAAAAGTGGGTGAAAAATGAAAAACGGCTGGTTATTTTTTCGCCCACTTTTCTTTCTTCTTATTTACATTGCATTGGTTCTAATAACTTCCCCTATACATTCCTTGGCATTACTGTCTGTTAGATCTCATTAATATTGTGTCAAAAGATGAAAAATTGAGCTCTTAGGTATACACTTCTTTCCCTTATTCATTAACGAGGGTCTCGTACTGGCAGACTTGGTGTCATTAGGTTGTATACGAGGGACTATTGATCAGCTGCCCGCTCGTAATAACTTCACGTGCTACGTGACGCCACACATGCGCATAAAAGAGTGTTTCACCATCGTCGCTTGGCTTATAGATGGCGCTCACTGACACTCCTACTTCTAGTTTCACATATAAACTCAAAAAAGTGGATGGAGGAAAGGCCGCTGTGATAGCTCAGTGGTTAGAACATTGAACGCGTTATTCGAAGGTCGTAGGTTCGATTCCTGCTCACGGCTGGTTATTTTTTCACCCACTTTTCTTCTTCTTATTTACATTTCATTGGTTGTAATAATTTCCCCTATACATTCCTCGGCATTACTGTCTGTTAGATCTCATTATTTTGTGTCAAAACACGGAAAAACGAGCCCTTAGGTATACACTTCTTTCCCTTATTCATTAACGAGGTTCTTGTACTGGCAGACTTGGTGTCATTAGGTTGTATACGAGGGACTATTGATCAGCTGCCCGCTCGTGATAAATTCACGTGCTACGTGACGCCACACATGCGCATAAAAGAGTGTTTCACCATCGTCGCTTGGCTCATAGATGGCGCTGACTGCCACTCCTACTTCTAAATTCACATACAAACCCAAAAAAGTAGGTGGAGGGACGGCCGCTGTGATAGCTCAATGGTTAGAGCATCGAACGCGTTATTCGAAGGTCGTAGATTCGATTCCTGCTCACGGCTGGTTATTTTTTCACCCATTTTTCTTTCTTCTTATTTACATTCTATTGGTTCTAATAACTTCCGCTATACATTCCTTGGCATTACTGTCTGTTAGATCTCATTAATATTGTGTCAAAACACGGAAAAACGAGCCCTTAGGTATACACTTCTTTCCCTTATTAATATATATATATATATATATATATATATATATATATATATATATATATATATCTTGCTTTTCTTTTCTCTCTCCGGTGTTTGTTGGTTGCTGTGCTTCACTTTGGTTCTTGACCGTGCACTATCCCCAATATCACTACTGCTACGTTGTTTTTAGTTGACGTAGTTGATATGTAATCTATTTTTGTATATTTCTGTGAATCGAAATTTTGCTCTTTTATTAATTTATACAGTGTTGTTTTCCATTTATGACATTTAACATGCCCCTCCCTTTGTAATGTGAAAACCATGAGGGTAAAATAAATAAATAAATAAGAATAAATATTGTGGTAGTGGGTGTATCCCTACAAGTTTCAGCAACATGAGCTAGTTATATAAGAATATGTATGTAAAGGTTGTTACATTATGTCAAAGTCAGATTGTGAACAGGCGGAACCACAATTGTCGTTACCGGAACATATGTTTTTTCCGAAGTAGTTTTGAGTACAGGCGTGGCTCTGTGGTAGAATACTTGGCTGGCAACAGGCTGGGCAAAATACACAGCAAACAAGTCCAGAATGCGATTTCGTGTACATGCACTAGAAGCCTAAAACAAATACTGAGATACATATGTCTCTGTCGTAAAGGATAGTTTCAAAATTCCTACGCAAAAATACAAAAAAATGTTCCGGTATACAAATACAACAATACTAATACTAGAATACTTTATTGATTTCGAAAAGGTTGAAGCAGCGAAATGGAATTAATTGGGCGCAGGATAACGATTTATTTAATATTTCACTTCATTAAAACTTGCAAATCAAGTATTCTGCTTCAATCATTAACGAACACGACGGAATTAGGAAAAAGTATACATTTATTCTAGACACTAGATCTGCCTTTCTGAGGTGGTTGCGCTAAAATTCACTCAAGCACCAGCATGTAACTTTTCAAATAGACTTTCTTTTAGACAACATCACTTCGGTCTCACTAGAGTCGTGAAATGTCATGGCGCTCGAGAAAAAGAGCTGCTTAAAGAGACCACGACTTTGTCGGCAGAGTGTAAAATTACTGCTTGGGCAAATCTACATTCACGGCATCGAGAGCTTTGGCCCATGAGCCATTCTGTGCGTTGAGGAACCCTTTCCCGCCACTCGTCGACTCCTACGTGCCTTTGCTTGGTTCAGCTTAAAGATCTTTTGATGCTTCTTGCGAAAACAGATCACCTCATTTACGAAAAAAGAAACAGCAACGAGATACCCGTGTCCTTTGCAGTATCGCGTTATACTTGAATGCGTTTCACTACTAAGGTGCAAATACATTTTCTCGATGTATTGATAGAAAAATACAGACACTGAGAAGTCAAATAAAAAAGTATTTTCATTTGTGAGTCAAACACCCTTCTTTTTCTATCATTCTCGGATGGGGCGTCACCTTTTACTCGAATATATACAGCGTGCCCCAGATATCTTTAGCCAAACTTCTCAAATATGCTGACACACGCCACGTGCAGCCGGTTTACTGCACTAGGGAGAAATACGTTTACCTGATATGGGTATGGATTTGTCTTTGCCTCTAATTTTGTCTTTTAGAGCCTATATTTTTGGGTTCTCCAGTGCGAAGGTATGTGCGGTTGTCAGGGACGGCACTGAAAAAACTTATTGGTTGAACAATTCATCAGGTTATAATCCAAACGTGGCTATTACCATATATACGTATAAAAAAGTCACGGAAGAAGGACGAAGTTTTTAAAGAAGTTTTTTCTCTTTTTTAATTTAACTAAGTATATGTATTAGATAAAGCACCATGACTTTCTAGGCAATCTGTAATCTTTCTATTATATATGCTCCATTATTGTAAAACTGCACATTATTTCATAAAACCACTCAACTCTTGGCCAATCCCCCACAGTGCACGTCACGGGCAACAGGTGAATAAGAACAAGAACAAGGCTGTCGGACGATTGTGTTGGTCAGCCACTTGGACGCTTTTGACTGTGCCTGTTGTATAGTCTGTAAGTACATCCTGTGTATAATACAGACAAGCTTGTAACAATAGAAGTATTCATTTTCTAAATTTTGAAATATAACAAGGTAATTTTTGTGCCTAGAAAAAGTTGTAAGGAGCGCAAATAAGGTTTGTTTTCGTTGCATGAGGTTTAATGTGCCGAAGCGAGTCAAGCTTGGCGAGATGGTGTAGTTCAGGGCTCCGTATAATTTCGACCACTAGGCGCACTTTAAACGAACTTGTTTTCTCACGAATAGAGAAAGTGCGGTTAAAATTTTTGCAACCCGCTAAGTACGAGCAGAGTTGCAGGGATTCACCACCCGCCCAAAGGGACACTAATGATAACAAAATGAGTTTCTTTGAATTGACAAACTGCACTTTGAAGCAAAGTGGGGTACGAGCTCGTCAGTATGCAATTTTGTAGAGTAAAGGCTATCGGTAATCTTTCTGTTAAACCTCCATCATTCCAAATCTGAACAGTAAATGTTGAAACCACTTGATTCTTGGCCA